CTTGCTTCTAAATATTTTACATATTTTAAAAGTGACAAATCATATAACCAGAATTCAATCATTGTACAACAACCTGAAAGCAACACAAACATGTTTGCACATTTTGATTCCTCAATGCTGGCAATGTATAATTTCCTTGCAGGTAAAATTCTATATTAATAAAATAATATTTTCAATATGTTCACTAAAATATTGATTATATAATCGATTTTTTAATAGGTGACAGTGGAGCATTTGGGTCTTGGCAGTTGCAAGATAATCCATATTTGGCAATATTATTTGTGGCATTTTCATTTGTTGTTGTGATATATTTAATGAATTTATTCATTGGTCTTCTTAGCAATCAAATTGACAAATATAACATAAATGAAGCATTTTTGGCTCAAAAGGCAAAAATCATAAAAGAAATTGAATTATTTTATTTACTTCCTAATCAGCGTCGTTGGAGAGAATGGTTTCCTGATTTATTGTAATTATGTTTATCTTTTTTCATTTTTTGATAAATAGTCATAAATAATTTAATTTGATAATTTGATAGATTTTATTATGTACCACATGAAGATATTCGAAGAAAAATCAGAGAAATTGATAATAGTCAAGAAGATCCAGAATTTCTTCCATTTATCTCTGAGGAACTTAGACGATTGGCAGAGATGCTCAAGCCAGATGAAAAAAACAAAATAGATCATGAAAATGATCTCAAGGAAATTGAAAACAAATTAAATTATAATCTCAAGGAAATTGAGAACAAATTAAATTATAATCTCAAGGAAATTGAAAACAAATTGAATCATAGTCTCAAGGAAATTGAAAACAAATTAAATCATCATAATGAACAGATATTGGCTGAGTTTAAAAATTTAAAAAAATAATTATTTTTTACCTGGTTTTTATTTTAATAATAAAATTCTAGATTTTTGATTAGTTTGAGGTTAAAATTAATCATGCAACATTGTAAATTTATATTCAATTATTGGCCCTTTTAAAAGTGTTGTGGGAATATCAGTTTGAGACACCTGTTGCTGCGTTACGCAGTCAATTTTCAAAAATAGTTAATTAGGTTGAAAAGTTACCATGTTGTAGTAAAGTGGCCTTTCAAATATATTGATCAAAGTCATATATAAAAATTAATATGTAGAAAACTCTATTGTATGCAAAATCAGGAAACTAACCATATTAACATGAGCCTTGGTTTTTATAACAATTCTGAACATATTTAAAAAAATCTGCTTGTTCTTTATGTCAGCAACTACTCAACTAATTACGGGCGAAACAATAACTTCTACATCACCATCATTTTTATTTAATGTTTTCTTTGTTTGTAACCTCCAGGAAAACTACTGATAAAAGTTCACATTAAAAAAAAAATCCAATTGATCCAATTGTCCTTTAATCTGGGATAAATAAATAAACACGAGGAAAAGCTCAGGACAAGAGGATCTTTTTTTTAAAACTAAGAAAAAAAAGCTTGGTTGATTTTTTTAGCAATCGAAATTTGTAAATAAATAAAAAATAAATAAACAAACAAACCAATTCACCTTTCGAATATTTTTTCTTACTTGCTTTTTATCTAGATATAATTATTGAAAAAAAAAAAAATACAATTCACCTTCGCCTTTTTTCTATTCAATATATAAAAAAATATGTTCATCAGGTCGGCCAGTGGGTGGGACGCATACAGTGACTGGGGTGGCTGTGTGCCATGCGGAAGAGTAAAATTGAAAAAATTATCTATTACAATTTATTGCCCAGGTTCTAATAATTCCAAAAATAAAGAGTTTGTTTTAGCCCTAGTGGTTTGAAATTGCGAACAAAAAAAAAAATTCAAGTGGCATGATTCAAATCAGTAAAGCATCTTAATTTTTTTGGCGTAGTTAAACCTTAATTTAGTATTAATAACACATCTTTTCTTGACACCACCGTTTTCTTTGCGCGTTGTGCAATAGTTTGCCATAAGGAGTAAAGAAAACTCGAGTTTTTTTAATCATTGTTAATTCAAATATCAGAGAAACACTAATTAGTAAAACGCGTTTTTTAATCTTTTTATAAACGTGTAGATAAATTACGATTAATCAATCTTGGACGAAAACCGATTTTTTATTATTTTTATTATTTCATTTTTTATTAGATAGTGACGGATGGAATGGAGTGTTGATGTGGATGAGAAGGCTTATCTGTCAAGTATTATTTTTTATTATCATTTTCATTATACGCTATACACGAATCATTTATATTCAACCACTTTTCATTACTTTCATTGATATATATCCATCGAGAAAACGAAATTTTTCGGCTATCTATTTCTCAAATGAGATTGGGCTTTTTAAATAAATAATAAATTTTTGCTCGATGCAACGAATGAAATAAAATATTGATATAATAATAGTTTAACAACCGCCTAATTTTGATGCTCCGTGCGAATACATAGATACCTCTCATTTGTATGTAACGTGTGAAACCAAATATATTTCAGTACTACTACTACGTGCATCGACCCTCGAATTCGAATGCAACGTAAAAAGCAAAAACTAATGCACCGTTTTTTGGTCCACGAGTGGAGGGTAGCGGGTCTATTTATATGCTTTGTGGTAATTTATTAGATTACTCGATCAATGCATCATATGGCAATGAAATAAGCTATTTTTATTAAAGATTGCATTATTCATTAACTATGAGTACATAATGGGATGCTAAGATGCTCCGAACGAATATACATGGTGTGTTTAAGTCGTGTGATATTATAATGACGCCAGAATATCATCGCGCTATAATGCTAATCTATATTTCACGAAACTCACTGTTACGTTTTCGTTTAAAAACTCGTTTGATATTTAAGAAATCACAATTCGCAAAATTTATTTTTTGAGATGACGCTCTTTGCTAGTTTTATTATTTAAATATCATTAATTATTTAATAATCACCTTGCCACGGTTACCTTCACAACCATGAATATCTTTTAAAATACGAGTTAAACCGTGTCCACGGCTAAACTACTAACATGAAGAAGAGCCGTAGAAAGTCATTGCTTCTTTTTTATTTTTACTGAAGTTAACAATTAACTAGAAGCTAGCCTTCTGGTCATATATTAATTGCATTAAAGTGTATATACTGTGTATGTACGAAAAGAATTTTAACGACTAATCCATAATTCTAGGTATTAGTATGTTCGTACGAAATCATCGATACTAATGATATCATTCATTTAATATTAATTGATGGTGTCATTTTAATTTTTGAATGATACGATCTAGTGTATCATACTAGTTTTATAGTAATGACATCAGTTTTCCTATGATGTGAATTGGTTATGGAAAATAATGTATGTCACATAATATGAACGCATAACATATTTGTAATAATATTAACAAAAGAAGATTACGTGATCCAAGCCCTTGTTTTGGCATAGATTTCAAATTTTACAAGGTGACAATATCAAGGCAGTGCTATATAGTGACAAAGTTGCAACATATCTGATACACAAATTGTGATTTTTTTAGGAAAATATATAATAATTTATATATATTTCTTTTCCTAGGGTTATATCTTCTTTGGTGAAAATTTTTAATAGCGGAAGCAGCAACTTCTTTCACTTCTCCAAGCAACTCGTAAATTTCAATTGCCGATTTATTTCAGTCTTTTCGTCAAATAGGTTTTTGAAACCCTTTCAACGTCCTCCAAGTGGTTTACATTTCGCGATATAATAATTATTGATGATGATTTTATAATAACTCTTCTTATGTTCAACAAACACAGAGTATCACTTCTGAGATATAAAACAAAAACTTAATATAGCAAAGAAAAAAGATTTTCAAACCAGAAGAACTATTGTGTTTTTTACTTGTCACTTTCTTTATGGTCATGTAATAAGGATCATGTGCAGACCACAATTACGTGAAGGATATTGGAAAAAAAACGAATAAATAAATAAATAAATACATTATAATGCAGTACAATTGTGACATGGCCAATTCAACCCTCAAAGTCTTTATACGAAATTTAATGTTCACTGTCTGGTTTTGTTGCAGCATTTCAAACACTAGACTTTCCACATGTCACTGTTAAAACCGGGCTGGACAAAGTTATAGAAGAATTAAGTAAGACCTTGTACAATCTTAAATTCTCAATTTCAAAATACTTTATATTCTTCATCAATAAATTGTCATCAATTAACGATGTCTATGACATGCATAACGAAGTATACATGCTGAGGATTAGCTTATAATATTAATGAAAAATGGAAGATACCTACCTAATAAGATAAGCATCAATGACTGACTGACTATATTATACCTACCTTTTACTCTTTTTTATATAACAGTATCAACAAAATTTACAAACTTCTCCACTTCCTAGCATTAAAATGTGTCGAAAATATAAGTACCAGAAACCTGGACCGTAATCAGCACAAAATCTCACTTCTTGTTACAGGGCTAGCACAAAATCTGATTGAGAATTTTCCATCCTCTCATGTGGAAACTATGGATTCTCTCACCCGCAAGGTCTTAGAAATTATCAAGACAATGATTTTCTTGTTTCTTTTTGGCAGTGGCGTGAATTCATTTAACTTTGATATCGTCAAAAATGTTCTTGATTTGCCTTCTTTGATGAAAATAAATCCTAAAGTGATCACTTCCTGAACCATATATTCGTCCAAAGAAGCCATATTTTGTAAAAAAGTTGTGTCTACGACCATTTTATTTATTATTTATTGTTATAATAATTTTTTGAAATTTGGAGGTTCAAAAAACCGGTTTTTGACCAATGGTAAAACTGGTCACTTAAATTTTGAATTAAACAAATAAAAAAAAATAGCTTTTTTTTTTCTTTATAAATTATTTATAATAATAATAATAATAATAATAATAATAACTTTTTCTTTTTCTCATTTATTACACTTGTTATCAACGAAATTTTTAAATGGATAAATTTAAGGAGGTAAGTGACTTGTGAATAAAGTTAACAAATTATATAATAAATATAAATACATTATCTTTATTGATTATTACACATAAAGAAAGTAGCTGCTCTTAAAGTTGAACGTGATGACGCTGTAGCTCGTCTTGAAGCATTAAAGGAAGAGTTAAAGACTGCACAAGAGGAACTTGCTTCTAAAGAAGAGGAAAATAGTACTCTTACAAAGAAAGTTGGCGATCTTGAGACTGATTTGGATGAAGCCTTGAAAAACTTAAAAGAAACTACTGAAAAGTACTTACTTATTTGTTTGTTTATTTACTTATTTATTTATACTTATAGTAATAATAATGAAATACAAAGAACATTTTTGTTAAATTTAATTTTATCTTATTTATATTTTTTAAAAAGGCTTCGTGAAATGGATATTAAGGTTGAAAATCAAGCACGTACTATTGTTAAACTTGAGGATGAATCATCGGGAAAAGATAAGAAATTAGATGAACATCAAAAGAAATATGATGAATTGAAAAATGAATATGATGAAACTATTAAAAATATCGATGATATTTAATTAATCATTCATTATTATTTATTAGCTTTATTAAATATTTTTATTTATCTATTAATTTATAAATATTGTTTATATATATATATATATATATATGTATATACATATACATATACATATATATATTATATTATAAGAGAAATCAATTGATTAATTATATCTAACCTGAAAGAAAGAGAAATAAAAAATCAGTAATTAATAGTCAAATTATTTAATGAAATATATTTGATTATATTACTTTATTAAGAAGTTGGTAAATGTTGTGACGTCATCCAATAATGAAGAAGATTTTCGTGATATTTCTTATTTGAGGCGGCAGAGATGATGATCTCTAGAGCGTGTTATTTTTTCAGAAAAAAAAAAATTTTCTCCGTTAAAATGGCTAGTAGTTTTTCATCTTTCCAATTAATGAATTCATTGATTAATGAACTTGTTGAATCTAGTATTGGTAATTTACCATTAAAACATGTCAGTAAACTTGTACATGATTTAAGAAATTTATTGCATCAATCAGATTTTTATGATATGGAAATTACAGTTGGAATGGACGAGGAGGCTAAAACTTTTAAGGCACATTCTACAATTCTAAAAGCCAGGTCTTCGTATTTTAAAGCAGCTCTATCAAGCAATTGGATTAAAAGATCAGATGATGGTATCATTTTATTTGAAAAAAAAAACATGTCTCCAATAGTATTTGAGGTTATTTTAGAGTAAGGCTGGTTGTTTAATTTAATTTAAATAGTTGATAAATCGATTGATTAATTGATTAATTAACTTTAATTAATTGATTGATTAATTGATTAATTTAACTTTAATTTTTTATATTTACATTTTTTCAAAAAGTTATTTATATAATGGAATTATTGATATACATGATTTGGATCCTAATGAAATCCTTGGACTTCTTATAGCATGTGACGAATTATCTTTTAATGAATTGCTTGAGGACTTGCAAATTTATTTGATCCGGAGAAAAGAACATTGGGCTCATAGGAATTTGTGTTATCTTTATAAAATTACACTGCAACACAAATCGTTTGGCTCGCTGGACAAATATTTTAGGAAATTAATTAATCGGAATCCGGAGCTATTTTTAAAATCTGAAGATCTTGAAACTCTTGAAAAATCAATGCTCGTCCTTATTTTAAAAATTGACAATTTGCTATTAAAGGAAATTGTCATTTGGGATTATGTTCTTCGTTGGGGAATTGGACAGTTTGAAGATTTGGATAAAAAACATGTTTCCGAGTGGGATGATGATGATTTCGAAATGCTACAGGAAGAACTCGCTGACATTATTCCATTGGTCAGGTTCGCTCAAATTTCTGCTAGCGATTTCAATGAAAAAATCATGCCTTATGAAAAAATATTTGACAAGGAACTTTTTCAATATTACCATCACGCAAATAACAATAATGATGTTTTGCAACCAAGCTTATTATTATTACAACAACAACACCCAAGGACTGGAAAGTTAATAGATACAAAATTAAAATCTATATTTTCTAGTTGGATTGATGGTAAAAAAATGGACTATTATGACGAAGATAACGTGCCATATGAATTTCAATTAATTCATTGTGGGAGTCGAGATGGGTGCACCAGATCAGATTTCGAAGAAAATTGTTACAACATTGAAGAGACTATAGTTATCATGAAAATTGAAAAATCAGGTATATTGGTCGGTGGCTATAACCCAGTTTGTTGGAATTTAAAAGAAAAATCACCAGAAGAGGCCTATTTTATCGAAACAAACAAAAGTTTTATATTTAAAATAGATAAAGACAGGTGGTACTATTCAATATTAAGCAGGGTCAAAAGACCAGAGCATGCAATAAAGCATAATGAAAATTTGGTGGATTTTAATGATTTATTTCTGTATAACTCTTGTTTGAAAAACATTAGACTATATTGTAATTACTGTTTTTATTTAGATAGAGCTTATGAAAATGACTTGTATCTTAAAAATTATTTTAGTAATTCTCATCAGTTGGAGGATTATGAAGTATATAAAGTAGTCAAGGAGAATTAATTGTTTGCTAATTGATCAATGAATCAATGAACGGATAAAACAATGCTTTTTTATATTTTTATTATTATTTTTTTTTTTTATCAAATAAATATTAAAGTTAAAAGCTGATGCAAAAGAAAGAATTCCTCGTCTATTTGAATAAACTAAATAAACACTTTTGTCCCAACACGTAACAAATAATAAATAAGTTGTAAACATAAAATGTGAGTATGAGCATTACCCAATTTACAATTTATAAATGATCATATATCAATTTTCATTAACTTCGTGATGAAAACAAGTGAGCATGATGGTCTTTTATTATTAGGATCATATCTAATAATAAATCTATTGCATAACAGATGGTAATTATGATTTGCGAGCTCTTTTCACAGCATTGAGCATTTAAGATTGTGTCATTCATTACATGTCTAGTTGCGATTACACTAACTAGTGCATTTGCATATTCTATAAATATGTAAACTCAACACGGGCTTTAATATATTAATATATAAATAAATGTATATCAATATTTATTGAATAATCTTACAATAATATCATCCATATACCCAATATTCAAAATAAAGTCATAGTCTGTTGAACTGATCTAAAGGAGATTAAGCAATTATTCATAATAATAGAGGAAATCCATATCTGAATAATACATAATAATAAATAATAATAATACTAATAATGCTAATAATAATGATATTATATAAAATATGAATATGTTTTAAATAAATAATTTAATTAAATCAGTTATAGTGATAACACCTAAAATTTTTTTATCTTGATCAATTATCCAAATACGATGAATATGATTTTCTACAATAATTTCGATTACTTCTTTCAAACTGGTGTCATATGTTGCTGTTTTTGGATTCAAAATATTTTCTGAATTTGGAAGAAGCTACATTACAAATAAAGATGAAGGAGAACAAGGAGATGGAGACGTGAAAATTAATATAAAAAAAATTTTTTTTTTTTGAGATATTACAATTTTTTGTGATTTCATACCTTTAAGAAATCCAAGACGGGCAAAACAAGATGATCAATAGATTTATAACTTAAACCCCGTAAATCGGAAACTGACAAATTTCCAAATAGTTGTTTATTGCTAAATAAATGTGTAGATAATGTAGATAAATAATTATGATAAATATAATAATATATATATATATTTATTTATTTATTTATTTATTTATTTATACATCAAGATTTATTTACCTATCAACAATTGGAATTCCAATTAAATTCTTAAAAGCCATTCTTCTATAAACATTTAAAGCCGTCTCATTCACATAACCAACCACAACTTCCTCTTTTTTATCTTCACTAAACAAGCCAAGTGATTTCAAGGATAAATTGAAATCAATGTCTGGTACACTCTCAGGATGTTTATAAACATATTTGATAATATCCGTTTGTGTCAGGATGTATGGATTTATTTTACCAGTGTAATCAATTACCAACGAGCGATGAACTCCTTTGGAAAATGCTGTTAAAGTCTAAAACAGCAAATAACAATAACGAAAATAGATATTATTAAACTATTCACATGTTTCATATACATACACAAATAAATAAAATATAAATTATACATCATGAAGCCCTTCATTTGCATCAGATTTAAATATCCGATAACTTTCTCGATCACTATCCAAGGTCATAACGATTTCAATAGGTTTATCCAAATTAATAATTCTCTCGCTGTTGATGGAAGTTGGCAATTTCTCATCTGCGACTGCTTCCTTGATAATATAATTTAAAATGTCCACCAAGTTAACTATATTAACAATCTCTTCTGAAACATGTGAATAAATTGGTAATGAAGTGATATTATTATCTGCCATGGTTTTTAAAGCACTTCTAACTGTAATTATCGGTTTGGCTGCAATGAGCCCCAAGTTTTTTGCAGTGTCTTTAATTTCTAAAGGTATAATTTCAGATAATTTTTTAGTCGACATTTTTTATCAACAGATGTTGATCGACCAATGAAATTTATCTGTTATATAGGAAATTTGAATTCCATATGATCACGTGCTTGTGGAAAGTAATGGGGTACGGAAAATAGAACTCCGAAAATCTTGCATAATTAGCCGTTTTGTGATTATTTATTGGATAATAATATCTTGGCATACTGCAAAGTGAACATTGGTATTACCAAAAATTTCAGGGGCCAGTAATGTTTGTTTAACATCAGGGTGGCTTGCATAACTCAAATGAGCACTTGGCTAAACTGACTAAACTATTTAGTCATACTTTAAGTCGAGTTTAGTCAAGTTTAGTCAAGATGATTATTACTAAATTAGGTTTTTAAACCCTTTACAAAAATAGTTAATATGAAACTCATTATATACATCAATCAGATCATAATCGTGTAGTTTGCCTTTTTTTTTTGCCTTTTTTTTGTCGATTAATATTTATCACGTCTGAAATTTGTCACCGAAAATATATATATTATCCATATTTATATTTTTGTGACCTGCCGTATTTTTATATCACTTACCTAAAAATTTTAAAAACTTATGATTTTTTTTTTTCGAATTAATTAAAAAATTCGGCTAATTTTTTTTCTTTATAAAAATACGGCAGGTCACCAAAAATATATTCTTCAATTAAATATGGACATAAAAATCCGGCAGATCCCCGAAAATATAAAATACGGCAGGTCACCAAAAATATATATTAATATATATTTTTATAAATTAATAATACAACAGGCCAAAAATAATTTTTTTATTAGCATTGATGTTAATTAGAGAATAATATATTTTTGGTGACAAATTTCTTATGTGATAAATATTGATTGACAAAAAAAAGGCAAAAAAAAAAGGCAAACTACACAATTATCATCAGATCTACTATGGAACCCAAGGATTACATTACAATTAGAAGTATTTTAAAAAAGGAACAAGGTGAAAAAGTAGCTCCTTGACATTTTCAAATGACACTCAGACACTAAAAGCTTATCTAAAAAAGGAGAGGATTGCTTATGAAATTTACCAAGAAGAAAGAATCCCATAACCAGTAAAAGAAAAGAAAATTTGAAGGGAAATAGTTTACTGCCTAACTTATCTTTTAAAGATCAAAGGAATTAAAAAGATTTGGGGAAAAAAGAATTAATGTGAGTTGGTTTGATCTGTTTAAGAATATATGGAGCATGGACAATAGAAACAGCCCAAACGTCAAAATCACAATTTTGAGATAATCAAAAAAAAAAGATCTGCATTTCAAGTAATTACCTATTGTTTTTAAGAACTTTAACAAAAAATATCTCAAAATTTTATTAAGCAAAATGGATATGGTTTCTAAGCTAAAATTAATCTCTGTAATAAATTGCATGTAGAAATACTGTTAACTCAAAATCATGATTTTTGACATTTGGGTTGTTTCTATTGTCCGTGCCCATATAACAAAATTGAGAAAAATTATTCCAAATTGGGATAGAATGTAAGAAAAAAACTAAAAATACCCAATCTATATATCAGTCAGGGAATATGCTAAATATGGAAATCGATTCTGGAAAAATTGGAACCCTTTTTGTTGACCAATTCATATATATTACAAATGGTCTAACATGATACTTTTGTATATGTTGAACAAAAAAATTTTTTTAATAAAATTCATATATAAAAGTCAAAACAAATTCTTCTGAATATATAACCTGAGGATCCCTGAGGGATTCTCAAGGTTCAATAGTATGTACTATGCACGGACTCATTTACTTCAGCCGAAGTCCCTGCAAAATTTACAAGATATAAAAAGCTATTAGTTGAAGAAAATTTCATTTTTTTTCATTATTTAAGTTCACAT